GGTACGTCGGTCTCCTGTTACCAACGCACTGATAAAAACTCATTAGAGGCAGAGACATTTAAAAACTCTTTTACAGATAATATCTGGATAGATATAATTATTACTGTCTCTGGATAGAATTACATGCCCTATCTGCTTGTGTAAAGCTTATTGCTTCAAAACTAATCATGCATATGTATAGCTTCGGGTACAGCCTCAATTTTCTGAAGAATCACTAATAAATAATATTCAATTACAATTTAAAATGTAAGCAAACCAGATTTTCTTTATTATCTTTGTATTGTATTTTTTCACATACATGAGTCACGCAAAGAATTGTTGCATCAAAAACTGCACAAAGTAATAAAGTAGCTAATAAATTAGTCAGAGTTAGTCAAAGAAGATAAAATTGAGAAATTGCATAGAAGCTCTATTGATTTACGACTTTATGTGTATGAAACATTGTTCAAATTAGATACATAGACTATCGTCTCCATTTTGTGGTTGAAATCTCCTGAACTGAGTGTTGAGAACATAAAAATTTAATTAAAGCCGGAATAAATTCGAGCGCTGGTTTGTTAGAATATAGTTAGTAACAAGATTCGTAACAATTAACAAACTCATGTTTCACTCGTCACAGTCGCCATTACAAACAGGTGCTCTATTAAAAATTGAAAACTATTCCGTTTGTTACATTTTGTACAAATTGAGCAATTTGTATCTTTATGTCTGAAATTCAAGTACTTACATACATAATAATAAATAATGCCCACAATATGTTGTACCGGTTGTGCACCGAAATGATTTTATAAGTCTGTCAGTATGTCACTGCTGGGCACAGATTTTTTCATGTATCGGATTAGTACAATTAGAAAATTTTAAGTGTCGCTCACTCGATATAGGTTTCTTCACCCAATCTCGGTGATTTCCAAAGTGAAATAAACCAAGAAAGTTTATTCAAGATATCGAACATATATAACTACATAAACATTTACTACTACGACTAGGACTGCCTCGTTGGCCGAGTGGTCACAAGTGTGACTGCCGGACAAGGGGTCTCGGATTTGATTCCCGGGTCGGGCAAAGTATTACTGGGTTTTAAAAATTCTCAGTAGTAGCACGGAGCCTGGAATTGTGTCCGGTATATGGCAATAGGCTCACCCCCTATTACATGGCATTCATAACATAAATAGTGAAATGTGGGTGTTACATTTTACAGTGGCATAATGTGTACCTCTGCCTACCCCTTCGGGGATAAAAGGCGTGATGTTATGTATGTATGTATAAATATTTACAACTTGAAAATAACCTTAAAAAAACAAAAAATTTATACCCTTAATTAGGCATCAAAGTATTCGTCCGCATCACTATCACCGGTGAACGTCCCCAGAAGACGTGCAGCATCGCCACGTTGAATGGCAATGCTTATTTTCTGTCCGAAGAAATAGGCAGGCGATTTCTTTATATACAAAGTGTGCACTGGGACCCCATGACCCATGTGATTCGACCAAGAAAGTACTTACTTAAAAATGTCACATGAGTGTTTGTCGTCTTTCGATCTAGCACTTAACGCTTGAGAGGCGCAAGACACCATATTGATAGACCATAACATAGCTCGCATTTTCAAGAAACTTTATATATATGCATTATTGGTATATAGAATTTATATGCCCAGCAGTAACTGTAAAATCTCGTGGCACCTAGTTCGTAGTCCGATATTCGCAGTGCGTAGGTCGTAGCGCATAGTATGTAGCTCGTAACGCGTAGTAAGTAGCTCGTAGCGCATGGCGCGTAGCTTGTAGTGCATAGTACGTAATTGGTAGCGAATAGTATATAACTCGTAGCGCGTAGTACGTAGCTGGTAGCGAATAGTACATAACTCGTAGCGCGTAGTACGTAGCTCGTAGCAAATAGTACATAACTCGTAGCGCGTAGTGTGTAGCTCGTAGCGCGCGGTATGCAGCTCGCTTCATGTGGCAGCGTTTTTACGCCTTTAATCTCACATGAAAAGAGTTGACTAACTTGACATAAAGGATACATTATAGAAATTGCTTATATTCCTACCCGACTCCATATAAAGGAGCAGGTTTTCAAATAGGGTGGTAAGTTTTTGTTTCATTCAAATCGCAGAGCAGTTTTCTCTTTTATCCTTTTTAGACTGGTATGAGGAACATCAGACAATCTTGGTTTCCCCAACATCGTTTCCTAGTGTTTTCCTCAAAGCTATTGCTAGTTATAGCTTTAATCACTGGTTAGTCCCGTTGGCATATTTTCTGTTCATTTTTGTTTCATTTAATGTTTAATGGTGGACACATTTTTATTACTTTTTTCTTTTTCTTCTTGAAATATTAATATTAAAAATGTCGCATAATATTTCTTTTACGAACATCTTTTCCTAGTTTTTTCTCCTCAAAGCTAGCTAGTGGTAACTAATTTCTGTTGCCTTTGATCACTGATTAGTCACGCTGCCATATTTTCTAGCGGACGACAGAATTTTTAATCGAGATGGTTTCTGAAAGGTTTTCCGATATGATCAATGAATTTCTTCTCGACTCGATGCTTTTATTACTGAGCCTCGTAAAAAGCTTTTTAATTACGTGATGCGGCACGGCTAGTTAATGAACATAAAAAAACTTAAAACCTTTGCAGGGTGGAAGTAATTCTCTGAAGCGGCAGACTGCAGCTCTCTGTCAGATATATTTTCATGTTACATAATTCCAATGAAAATGCAGGAACCTTTTTAATTTCTTTTATGACTTTTTATACCTATGTAACATGTAGTAACGCCCGCGCAGTTTCACCCGTTACTCGACGCCTATTAATCGTAACGTGAAGTTTTATAGCCTATATTAGTGACATAGATATGGAGAGTGCTTCATTCATTCAACTATCGCTATTTAAAAAACCACGTCATTTTTCGCTCCGTTTTGCCGTAAAAGACAGACAAAAGAAAAAAACACTCAATTTTGTATCTATAATATTAGTATGGATTACCTATTTGTTATTGACTCTCACAATATTGCTATTATTTCGATTTTTCAGTTATTAGTTTCGATTCGTTTTCAATATCAGATATTGAGAAGCGCAAGCAGGCACTGTATCAACACAGACAAATTGGTGATTCGATACAACCGTCAATAGAAACATATGGTGTGCGATTCAACAGCGTAGGTACTTCGACAACAGACTAAAATTGTTCATAACGATACGCTTGTTTCCCATTGGAAGACAATGGAACGCAAAATGCCCCTGATTTGGATGTTTATTCGGCATGACTGCATTGATTTTGAGTTGGTAGATTTGAACATATATCACATGCAATTAGTGCACATTATATCAGTGTTTTATACTGCTAACGAACTCTTGTAACTTGCTATAAAATTAGTTATTCTCGCTTGATACTGTTTTCATTTACCTATACACGAGATGTAACAGATCACCGTCATGACTCTACTAATGAAATCATCTTCTTTTATGTAAATTAATTTTAAGAACATATGAAATTCCTAAAACTAACTTTTGTATTGTGACTGTATCGAACATGATACGGGGAATTACAGCGCACCGTGTGAAGTGACACTGCGCTGTGTCTACGTCACAGCCTTGTCGACCAAATTGTGATTTCTTCCGAAAAGGTTGCGTAAAATTTGTTAGTCACTAAATGTTCGCAGCCAATCACTGCACGCCGAGGTGTTATTCTTGTGGCCGATTTCCGCACTTTTATCACGACTTTAAGTAGTTAGCTTACGACAATCATTCGTAGCTTTGAACTACCTTTTAAAAATAACTCTCAGGCCTACGTCATAGGATTCGAAAGGCGCAAAATTAGTTAACTTCCTACTGCTTTATATCGTTCAATTGTTCAATTACCTAACTGATCTGATGGTTAGTAACGGATTGAATTGGCGAACAGCATCGGTCTCAAATTCCACATGATAAGCACGGGGCTAATGTAAAAAATTAATACTATTCCTCTGGTTCAAATGGCAAATTAGTAAACAAATTGAACAAGTGAAACCTCAAAACAAAATACCCGCATTACCTTAAGTAGGTTTTTTGCTTGAATTTGCTGTTCATTGTGAAAAATCTGGCATTTCAAACGCAAATTGTTTAAATAGCACCCGTTTATGTCACTTGTGTACTGATAAAATCATTGCAGTACCAGTATTGTTATAGTTCGCGACAACATTTATAAAGTATCATTACTTTCCTCAAACATTAAATTGTATTTGTTCTCATTAAATTATTATCGTCTTCGTTTGCAGTTAAAGAAAGAAAATCATTGATATAATTATTATTTATAGTTTACCTCGTGCTTGTAATAAATTGTAGGACATGGAAATTGCACACTAACATTTCAAAGTGAAAAAACATAATAGGATACAATACAAAAACAAGATTGAAGAGTTGTTTTGCGCAGACGGCTCAAGTAAACAAAAAATATTCACAGAGAGCTCGAACTCAACATTTTCATAAGGTGAAGCTAACAATTACCTACGTTTTTGTTCTTTGCGTTTTAAATAACTTAACTTTAGAATTATTGGTTGTATCCTTTGTAACAATGACTGCACTACCATTATAATAGTATTTTAACACTATCCTATTTATTTTTCAAACTTCTACACTACAATAAAAGTCTTAAAATAATGCAGTTATGACCTTGGTTATTTCTGTATGCAATTGTACATAATATTATGTACTTTTAATACAAGGCTTTATTGTTGGAAGTGAAGACAAGTATTATGTGCCAATTACATACTATTATACATACATATGTAGGTATCTATATGTTTACTCTTTTGGTGAATATTTTATGGGTCGACTGCCTTATGACAGGTGTTTAATTGCCCATGAGCGCGAGCTTGTAGGTACATAGATATAAGTAAATACATAATAAAATAAATTGTAATATTAATTATGTTAATTATGCAGGTTTGATGTATGGATTTGTAAAGTGGCCTGCTGAATATGAACGAGTATACAATACAACATATAGAAAATTATTATAAAAAAGGACTCACCTCTGTTGCTGCTCTGTTAGCGCAAACCGATACAATAAGTTGATGGTGTAGTACAGTGTGAGATATGCTAGTAACTCCCGCCAGACGAGCTTGTACACGCTGCCTCTCCATCTGTAAGCGAAAGTAAAGTATATCGGTCTTTAAGTCGATGTAAAATTATTACAAAATAAGGAAGAAAGTCAGGTTTGTGTAACGGCGCTCTTGTCCGACACGAACTGCCCAGCCGACCTTGCGGACGATTACCCATACGTGCCACACGCGTGTTGTTTCATTTTTGTACAGATATGTTATTGTTATTTGACATAAATAATTTACCGTGGCTCAAATCATCATCGGAACATGAACAGCGTCCGAGATGAATATTTCTGTTATATTACCAACGACAGCGACGAGTAAAATGTATTAATTATAAGTAATTTAAGTACAAATTGCAGTAACAGGTATTTTCGTAGTTTATATTTGTTATTCAAATCTTATGAGTACCTGTAATCTCGTATTTTATTACGAAAAATAAAGCCGGATTGTTCGGCCGTGACGTGATACGAACGATGCGAGCTTCTAAAAACTTGTTTAGCGTCAGGGTGTCAGACAAAAAAATGAGTATAATTGCATGTCTAATCGTTGAACCGTGAGTCCAATGATTCTAGGAACGTGACAAGTGGTAACAGTATTGAAGATACTTGTTTGTCTTCTCATTTCAAGATCTTTTTGTTTTTAATTAAATGCCAACGTCATCCTGGCCCCACGCCTACTACTACTTCTTTGAAGGAAATAAACAATTTGTAAACCAACAAAAATAAATTACTGTTACTTATCTCAATATTCTCCACTAGAGTAGGTCATTAAAGATTACAAACAATAAAAGTAAAGCGATTGTGATACAAATATTCTAAATTAACAAACAAAGTTTATATTCAGTAAAAGTTGTGAGTCACATTTGATTTGAGCACAAAGAGAAAATGGCTACTAACTATGACAGTATCAAAGCGAACAGCAAAATGTTCTTGTCCTCGAACACTGCTTATTAATTTCCTAAGACCTAAGACAATGGATTGACACGAAACAAACATTTACAATTGATCGTAGGATGAGTTCAATTGAATTATTGGCCAATTGTCAGAGCATCGGCCTACATTCCGACGATCGACTCGGCCTCCTCTGATCTCGTGATGGCTTACCATTTTCCTTGCAATTGCTGCAAACATGGCACAACACTAATCAAATATCTTACCTACATATCGACTTATGTACACCTGACGTACATAATACCACAATAAGAGTTACAACATCATTTACTATTAGATACATTTCGAAGTTTGCGTGATCTTGTGTTGTGATAGTTGCCATAACACGTATGTTTTTCTATATACGAATAAACTGAATTGAATACTTAACTTAGTTTTCTCCACTTATGTTATTTGTATTATATAACTGGAACAAGCAAATTATCGCAGTCTGGGGACGAATGCATGTACATATGTATTATACTACTCCCGCGCGGTTTCACTCGCTCTGCTCGGCGCCTATTAACCGTAGCGTGATATTTTATAGCCTATAGCCTTCCTCGATAAATGGGCTATCCAACACAGAAATAATTTTTCAAATCGGATTAGTAGTTTCGGAGATTAGAGCGTTCAAACAAACAAACAAAAAAACAAACTCTTCCAGCTTTATAATATAAGTATAGATAAGATTAGCTACCTTTTATAGTACTTCATCTGACTCTGCCTAACCTTTGTCTAGGGTGAAGGTAACGCAGTAGAGATTTTCATAATTAAAATCCATGAAATCCATTTTTTTCTTCAGGTCTGCTACACAAATGAAGTATCGTTAGTTCAGTTCATTCCATTGACAACCGGTCCTTAAGCCGATTATGCAGACACGTGCAGGCGAGATGCCATTGCCAAAATAAATAAGAATCGTTAATATTTCTTGTTTGGGAAAATACCCGTATTTTGTTTGTTGATCAAATAATACGAATAGTTTATTGAAATTCTCTCTTTCAACAAATTCGTCAATGATAGACAGAGTCAATGGTGAATTATATTGACATGATGCGGTGAGGTCACATTGAAGTATAAGTAAGTAAATTTTATTATATTTCGATATACAAATGTACACTCTACCTTAGACTTTCGTGAACTATTATGCCACTCATTGATCCTATTAAAACAAACACAAACACAATCATATTTATTGTGAAGGAAAGAAGATTACTTTCGTCCTAGATATATTTCAAGCATAAATCTCAAAGACCAGTGAACAGATTATGTCACAGTGTAGCATATAAAAATATTTTTTAAATATTTGTAAATACAATGGCAATTTTACTACACAAATCATAGCAAATATTAGCTCTTCCTTATTCCCTTTCGTTTCATCGAAAACGTGAACAGGGGATCACCGGAAACTCCTTTATTTTGACAGTTACATAGTTAAATATGACCTGATTTTACTAACGTCAGATAAATAACAAAGGAATGACTTTGAATGTTTAACAATAGGGTACTTTCCTTAAACAAAAATAAATTATTTCGACAGTTCAATACAATAAAATATTAAAAAATAATCACACTTTCATTAATTAATTTTATGACCAACTTAATTTTAGTATTTTTCCAGCAATTTTTTAAGAAATAAGTATGCCGTTCGACGCTTAAAAATGTGACGTCACAATTCACAATCTCGTACAAAATTCATAAATAACTGTCGTTTGTGACAGTTCGAAAAAAGTATTGTATTTGACTAGTTGTCAAATACTTATCGTATTCTTTTAGACTAAAATCGATCAAATGTCAATTTTATTATACAGTTAAGAATTAACTGATGGTTGAAAAATCTGCCCTAAATAAGTGTTGTTGTGAGTTTTGTTTTTCTCGGGTAATAGGAGCGAGCTAAAAATATCAGACTCTCTTATTTTACTAAGAATTTCGAATACGTAGGTTAAGTAGTAATACCACTTAAATTTTTCCAGTGCCCTGATTCTAACTATATATTGATGAAGCACTGAATATGTTGTTATCACTATGTGCTATTGGTGTTTTTGGCAAAGTCGAATAAGAAATGACAGAATCCGCAAATAAAGTCGCTGACATAACCCAACGGATTAGCAAGCTGAAGTGGCAGTGGGCGAGGCACTTAGCTCAGAGAACGGACGGCCGATGGGGCGTAATAGAAATGACCTAATTAAGGTCGCAGGAAGTAGCTGGATGCAAGTCGCTTCCAAATACTTCCAATAAGCTTATCTGGAAGTCATTGGGTGAGGCCTAGGCAACACTGGATGTTTGGTAGATGTATGACGACGATGGTAATGATATCGCATAGCTTCTATTAATATTTTCTCAGATGTGTCATGGCTATCTACCGTGATCCTTTTCGTCAGGTACCTCTATTGTTTACCATGTTTAAATGTGAAACTCTTGAATATTATCTGAAATATCCATTCTTACCTAATGTGACTAAATAATGATTATAAAAATTAATTACCTAAAGGTAAATGACAAATGATATTTTTTTCTGCAAATGGTAACAGTTTTACGTGTCAATAGGCATAATAAGGTGACCTGCAATCCTCCAATTGCCATTGTCTTGTGACCTCAAAATTATACTGAGTCTGTCCGCCAACAAGCCAATAAGTCCACTAGATCCTACCCACTACTGCTAATTAAAAATGTCCTTGCCTCCGACGTGGGGGCTAATACATATAAAAATAGAATCAGATTCCTTATTTGGGCGCTACAGCTATCTATATTGCACGTGCATACAAAATAGGAAAGTGAATTAACTCATGACACCTGTTTTGTCGGAAGTGGTAACTATCGAATTAGTATATTACGTACGTATTACCAATCTTTATGTCTTCAAAGGTCTGGTACAAGATCGTGCGTTGAATACATATGTACCTAAGTACGAATATTTTCTTGCTTAGACTATGTAAAGTGTCCGGTTCACCACGGCATGGCACTCGATAACGGTGTTACTTGGGAAATTAGACTACCTGTTAGATGCTTGTATGTACATTATTATATTCCATTATATTTTCCTCGAGTTTTGTTCTCTTTAGGCAGGCAAGCGTAAAAGGCAATGGCAAGAAACTTGCTCCATTATTTGGTGGGTCTTATAACTCGATAATAATTAGGTAAGTATATACTACAACTGCGAACAAACCCAACGATAGACAGCGATATCATCTAAAAAGTCCACAATCCGCTTGCATAGTCTTTTAATCGAGACTATGGCAAACCCTATCTTAAGAGGGTCACCCTTATTCTACAGTGGACATATCCCGGGCCCCGAGAAATGATGATACCCCCTGACCAATGACAACTGGTGTCACGATTTATATGCGCATCTAACCCATATATGCTGCGTGAAAATAAAAGTATTTCTGAACATTTTGTTGCTGCAATCGTTTGTCTTGTCTAAGTTAAATAACTGACAGAGGACGCGCAGCAAATATTAATAATTATCAGTAATATGATAATAATCCGCTATATGATCAGTCATATAGCGGATGTTTGAGTCCTTTGGTTTACTCAAATTCTTATGGGAAAGGGGAAAAAATATTGTTCTCATACTCGTACGAATTCGTGTGGAAAAATTGATTAAACATTTATCTTCTTGCCGACGAATCCGTATGTATAACAAAAGCAGATGGACATTATTATTTTTTCATCAATTTATTCATAACTAGCTTCTGCCAGCGGCTTCGCCCGCGATCCCAGGGATAAAAAGCCTATGTATCACTTCAGACCATAATCTACCTGTATTCCGAATTTCATTCCGGTCCCTTTAGTCGTTTTAATATGACGGAGTAACAAACATACACATAAACTCACATATTTTCATTTATAATATCGAGTCAAGCTAATTTCAAACATTCGCCTTTCAGTTATAGCGTAAAGTCTATGAATGAGTATTTGAGTATTGTAAACGTTAGAGTAGACAAATACAATCAGAAATCACCGAATTGCTAAGCTATTGGGAGTTTCACGTGTTATTGTGAGTCAACCATAAAAGATAGACATATGCTGTCGAGAAATATTTTTTATATAATTTTAAGGAGAATATTTCCGTCATACATGATTTCTATGTAGCTTTAACCTATAAGT